CCTCCTCCGCGACGGTGGAAGCCGCCACCGCCACCGCCGCGACTCCGGAACCGATCTCGAGACATGTCTGTGGTCAAGGGGCGGTCGAGGCAGAAGCGAAGAAGTCGCTCAGGGAATGTGGATGCCACCTTGCTTCGCACAAAATGGCGGATGACACAGGCTGCGTGCCGCCTTTGTCCTCGTCTTATATAGGCCGGCTGAGCGGGCCCCGCCCACCCCTTGATCGGTAGCTCCGGTAGCCAATTGTAAGTGCCGTGTTTGATGACGCTATTTTACCGAGTGCTAGTCTCTTCTATTGGCTTCTTGGTGAGAGGCGGGAGGAATGCGTAGCTGAAGTTTCCAGCTGGCCAATGAGCGGAAAAGGAGTTGACTGTAGGCCACTATGATTTGCTGGGAGAAATTTGAATGGGTTCGCCAGACCAATTTTCTCAGGAAAGCAAATAGTAAGGGCTCTATCAGCTCCAGGGGAAAGATAAGGGCCCTTTTCTTTCTCGATTGCCCCGGAAGCGGTCTATTGTTATCCTTTCCCTGAAAGAACGTTCTCTGGTTCAAAGGCATAAATTAAGTGCCTGCAATCTACCTTGTGTTGGGCCAGTGAAATAAGAAAAATCAAATCTTACCGATTTCACACGCGATCTTACTGTCATCTAAGGAGCTTTTGGTGGGTCATTCCTCCCTCAGTGTTCGCTCTTATCGCTTACCAGCCTTTTGGCTAAGATCAAGTGTATTATCTGTTCTTGTCAGTTTAATAACCGATCCGTCCTCTATCCGAGGACAATATATTAAACGGATTTTTGGAGAAGGGAGATGGAATAGGAGCTTGCTCCGTCCACTCCACGCATTGACCCGGTATTGCAGTACCTCCGGGAACGGTGCACACACACACAAAAAAATTTAGCTCTTTAGCTCATGGCTTATTGTCTTCCTTTCCACCTCTCTGTTCATCATCCAACGTCTATGTGGATGACCACCCAATACTCTGTCAATTCTTTATCTCTTCACCTCCAACAACCTTTCCTTCCATCCTTTATCAGCCGCTCCAACCCCACAACTGCTCTAAAGGTCACCGTTGTGTTTGTTATTGCCAGTAAGTATTCCATCTTTAAAATCTCTATTTCAAGAATCTCTACTGTCTCGTCCTGGCGGGTTTGGCTCAGTGAATAGAACGTCGGCCTGCGGACTCAGGGGTCCCAGGTTCGATTCCGGTCGGGGGCATGTACCTTGGTTTCGGGCACAGCCCCAGTGGGGAGTGTGCAGGAGGCAGCTGATCAATGTTTCTAACTCTCTATCCCTCTCCCTTCCTCTCTGTAGAGAAATCAATAAAATATATATATAAAAAAAGAATCTCTACTGTTTGATCATAATAACTGATTCTTTGACTTCATCAAAAGCTCCAGACCGCCCTGGCTGGTGTGGCTCAGTGGATAGAGCGTCAGCCTGCGGACTGAAGGGTCCCGGGTTCGATTCCGGTCAAGGGCCCATGCCCGGGTTGTGGGCTCAGTCCCCAGTGTGGGGCGTGCAGGAGGCAGCTGATCCATGATTCTCTCTCATTGATGTTTCTCTCTCTCTCTCTCTCTCTCTCTCTCTCTCCCCCTCTTCCTCTCTAAAATCAATAAAATATTTAAAAAAAAAGCTCCAGACCATTGAATGTATTACTTTTTCACTCTCACATTTTTAACTTTTTATTATTATTATTATTGATTTGAGAAAGAGAGAGAGAGATGGAAGTGAAACATTGACGGGTTGTCTCCTGCTCCAACCGGGATCAAACCTGCAACCTCCTGGTGCATGGGAGGACACTCCAATCAACTGAGCCACATCGTCCAGGGCTCTCACATTCTCCTATTCATAACTTGTGTTGCACAGTTTAGATGTTAAGATTGCCTACAGCCCTAACCGGTTTGGCTCAGTGGATAGAGCATCAGCCTGCGGACTGAAAGGTCCCAGGTTCGATT